TGCAATTAATATGTTATATTTTTTATTTCCAAATTTACTTACAATTTATTATATGATTAATAAAAAATAGTAATTTTTTTGTAGAAATAAAAAAATAGTAAATTTTGTATCTATGAATGTTACAATGATATTATAAATAAGAGGGAATGATAATAAATGACCAAATTAAACTTAAAATAAGCACTAACAAATTTGGTAATTTGAAATAAGGACCAAAAGTCCTCTAGTGAATTGGCCTAAAACAAAAATTTACAAGTGAAATTTGGTACTTTATAAAGAAAAAACTTGTTAAATATATCATTAATTGAAAACTATTTTCATTTATAAATTAATAAATGTTACTTTCGAATTTGAGTTTTGAGGGTTGCAGCAAATAAATTTATAAGAGTAGTAAATTGTTAAAAATGATTATATGTATGACAAGTTTTTTTCTTTACAAGTTAGCGAATTTTACTTGCAAATTCTTGTTTTAGTGCTTGCAAATCATGAAATGAAAAAAAAAAAATTGTTAGACCATTCACCAAAAAAAAAATTGTTAGACCAATCCATTAAAGAATCTTTAGTCCTCATGTTAGATTTTCAAATCTTTTGGCCCTTATTTAAGTTTAGTTCAATCTTTTGATCCTTTAATATCATTCCTATAAATAAAGGTTTAATGAAAAAAATCAATAAATACTATACCAAAATTTTGGAAAAAAAATGTAAAATAAATAATAATTTTCTTGAAAGAAGTTACTCCCTCCACTCAATATTTAATACTATAAGGTACTTTTAACTAAATTATAATCTAAATAAATCAATTAATTGTCTTTAAAATTATATACTCTTTATATATTACTTTTATTTCATAAAATGTTTTGATTAGAAAATATATTAATTACACTTTTAATTAAGAATATTTTTTGAAATACATTATTAATTTATTTTGAAAGACTCAAAATATCAAATATTTTTTAATATGATATTTAATTTTTTTATAATATTAAAAAGAGGGAGTATATTTCAACGGAGGGAGTATGCATCAAGTATCAACATCTTATTCTTATTCTTATTCTTATTTGTAAATAGAATATAATCAATGATATCATATAGTTTGAGTGCTAGACTTGATATAGAAGAAAAGTGTAAAGACAAAACTTTATAACAATAAATAAATAAATAAAATTAAATAAAGAAGGGGATTTATGAAATATAGGCAATAATGATGATATGGTGAGAATGATGATGGAGCAAGGAAAGTGGGAATGATTACACAGCCCAGAAGTGCCTCATTTACAGACATGTTTGCAAGAGAAGGTTGACTCATGAGCATTGCAATCCAATTTACAACTCATGATCATAAGTAATGAAGTGGAAAATTCCTTACGTTCTTGGACCTTATTACAATTATCAAAGAATTTTATTACAATTTCCAAAAATACTTAGTATAATTTTTTAAAAAATTGTGAAAAAGAATCCAATCTTTTTTTTTACCAAGGTAAAAAATAATCTAATCAATATTTACAAAATAGGCCAGCTCTTGATTGGCTCAGACTTGAAAAGATCATTTTTATTTTAAGTCTCTTGATTTGCATAGTTCAGTCCTAGAGTTTACAGGCTTAATGCTGGGTGTGAGAGCTTCAAAATATTTTAATTTTTTTGAATATTTTTCAAATTAAATATATAAAAATAAAATAAAGTAGACAAAAAATTAAATATCAACACATTAAAATACAAAATCATTGTTCAAATTTCCAAAATAAAACCAAATAAAGCTAAATAAATTAAATAAGTCTTATCTAAATATTAATAAAACAATAACACCAGAGTATTAGAAGTATCATTTTTAATATTAACACTATTTGGTTGTACTTTGAGTTAGCTTTTAGGTGACAAAAATATTAAGATTTTCTTTTTTATTTAGGCTAGAATTTTTTTAATTTTTTAATTTTTTTCACATTTGAGTCCTCTCCTTCATTATGTATTCAATATTAATAATTTTTATATACAAAAAATATAAATGGGCCAATCCTAAAGAATCAATCTGATTAATTTTAAACTAGTTAAGGTTGATGTGATGAAGCCCCAGCTTGATTAAGCATCGATGGGCCTAAAATACATTTTTTAATATCACTTGAACAGGGCTCATCATGTTCTCCTTGCTCTTAATCATCAAATTAATTAGAGGAAAGGACCCAACGCAAAACCTTCAATTGTTGTTTCACAGTCTGCATTTTTTTTTTTCCATGTTCGGCAAATAAGGTCATTTTTTCCAATTAATTTACTTATTAGGTACACTTTTCCAAGTTCTATTAAATATCACTTTTAATGTACATTGAAAGTTATTTTTAAATTTTTTATTAAATATGGTTGGAAATTCTATTTATAATGTATAATTGTTGATTGATATGACATCAATTAAATAAATAAATAGGGAGAATACACTGAAGCCAAATAGAATTTTTATGTGATTATAAATAGGTCATATACTTGTTAAAACTTTTCTAAAAAATATATGCACTTGTTAAAACAATATTTTTACCTATTAATTTATTAATATTTATTTATTAAAAATTCTCATTACTTATTAAATTTTTGGGTTAAGAGTTATTTTTTGGGTTAAGGTCATTAGAAATTTTAAATTTAATTATGGATCAACTCTGTCTTTTAACTTTAAAAACTCATTCTCTCACTATTTTGTCATTTTCTTATCATTAGTTGATCACTAGTAAATCCCACATTATATTTTTTAATATTTTTTATTATAAAATATTTGAGTTAAGATTGTCCACTGACCTTTTAAATAAAAATTGAGAGACAAAAATAATCTTTAACTCAATAAAAATATTTTAAAAAATAGTGCAACCCAATAATAACTAATGGACATTAAGTGTTTTTAATGTTAGGATAATGAAGGAAGGAATCCTTAACATTGAATGATATAATTGACTTATAATTAAGTATAGAATCTCTAATAAACCTTCGAATAAAATTGAAAGATAAAAATAATTCTTAATCATAATTTTTTTTTTTTCAAGAATCCTTTGTTGATATTCTCCCCCTTCAAATACTAGTCCTATATTATAGTAAAGTAGAGCTCCACCCTTTTACAAGTCCATTCCCTTCTAAAAATCTCTTCATAACTATGGCTATATCATTATTCTTGACTCCAAACCATCTACATCAACTTTATCATATTTACCAAAAAAAATTGACATTTTGTTGTTGGAACTTGAAATAAACATTTAAGCAATGTTTTCTGCTGAATGGCTTGAGGATTTCTGCCAATTGTATTATAAAAATGGGACAATTATTCACCCTTTTCTCAAATGCAATTGATGAGGCCATTAGTCTGTTGACCAGGGATTAGGATGTTAAGATTGATTTTATATGTAGGGAGGATAAATTTTTTTTTTTTTCCAATTAAGAGGCAGGCATACTTCGGGAAAATAAATTACACCTGTTAGTTTGACTAGCAAAGGTCATTACAATCCATTATGAGAGGCTAATGCTAATGTTTGCGCATATATGCTTTCTAAGTTAGGTCATAATTTAATTAGTCTTTCTTGTTTTTTTGATGTGCTTTTCATCAACCCCACCCACGTTATTGCTCCGACTTAATTGATTATATGTAAGTTTCTCTTATTTATTAAAAAAAAAGGAACTATTATTCATTTGATTATTTTAATTTTAACTTAGTTGTAAATCTTTGACACATTGTAATTCATTTTTTATAATTTAGGTACTGATCTTTGACTTAATGCAATTTAATATTTAATCTATTCATTTAAAAAATATAAGGTATTTTTAACTAAATTTTACCCCCTAATAAAGTTGTTACATACTTTCAAATTAATTATATCCTTTTATATTTATCCTTATTAAACACCTTATAATAAATATAAAGTCATTATTGATAAGGATATTTTTTCAAAAAAGATAATAATTACACATCAAAATTGACAACAAAAAGATTACACATCGAAAGATTAAAAATATTTTAAATATTTTAAAATCCAACACTTCAAAAAATGCTTCATATTTTTTAACAGAGGGAGTATCGTTTTGATCATTTAAAATATTGGTCCAAATATTTAAGGAAATAAAATTACAAAAACTAAAGTTATTTTGAAATTTAAGGACTAATGTTTTGAATTTCTAAAATTATAACAAATGGGTTGAAGCGAGATAAAGTTTAGAAACTGGGTTGTATCATGGCCAAAATTATAAGGACTAAGTCATACTTAATTAAAGTTGAAGAATTAAGTTATACTTAGAGTTAAAATTACAAGAACTAAATAATTAATTTTTTTAAAAAAATTATATTTAGAAAATACTATCTCTGATCTAAAAATATAAGCATTTTATTTTAGCTAATTTTAGTATAAAATATAAGCAACCTAACATATGTAAAACATTTTTTTCATTTCACCTCTTGTATCTATTAATCTAGATCTGTGTATAAATATATCTCTTACTTATCATGGAGTGTATTAATAATTGTGATTAAGAGTAAAAAATAATATATGTTTTTATTATAATAAAGATTTTACTGGGATGTGAATCTTTTTTAAAAACTATTTATATTCTGAATTTGAAAGTAAAATATATAAAATTATATTATTTACTACTGCTGGATTTTTGCTCATATTAAATCTTGAAATATATAAAATCTCGTGGATATAGCTCATAATTTAGTCACAGTACGAACAACTAAAAATATTTTAATTTTAATTAATTTATTAATATTATCTTATATGAAATTTTCTGATAAAATTATACATATTAATGAAATTTATTAAACAGATTTTATAATTTTAATTTTTTATAAACTTTTAAAAATAATTTTTTAATAAGAGAGGAAAAATTTATTCAAAATGTGAAATAATAAAAATCTACGAGAAGTAAATATCAATTTAATTTAGTCCAATAATAATATTGAAGAGAATTGAAAAAGAGTACTGCTTTGTCAGATGTCATCTTGTCTTTTAATAATTTAATAATCCCAACCTCAGGTTCTCACCAAAAGCTCACCAAGACACAGATTTTCTCCAACGCACAAAAGCAAATCAAGCAAAGCACAGGAGGAATCCTTCACCTCTGCTTCTCGCTGCTGTTATCTTCAGACACTCCGACGTCACCGCTTTGTTATTCTCTCTCCGTTCTCGCTCATCTGTCTCGTCTCTTCTATCTATGTCGTTATTGTACTCATGAACATCCCTCTCTCTTGACAAAATCTCACTTCCCAAATCGCCTCCTCGCCATGCTCTCTCGAAAATTCTCTGCCTCGCCGTCGTCCGCGGTTGTTTCTGATCCATATCCATCTTCTCTTTCTCCAAATCAGTCTCATCCCTCTCACAAAAGCCACCATCTTTTGCCTCCGCTTGTTGCTTCCGCTGCCTCTGTATGCTCCATCTTCTTTCTCTTTTTCCTCTGTTTTCGTAGACTTGCGAGAAAACGCACCGCCCCTTCTTCTGATTCTGAGTCTAAGCCTCCGTATCGTTTCTCGTATTCCCTCCTCCGCCGTGCCACGTCATCCTTTTCCACCCGCCTCGGCCAAGGCGGCTTCGGCCCCGTCTACTCCGGCACTCTGCCTCCTACTCGACAACCCGTCGCCGTCAAGCTCATGGACTCTGCCTCTCTTCAGGGCGAGCGCGAGTTTCACAACGAGCTCTTCTTCGCCTCCAGGCTTCACTCTCAGCACGTAGTCTCTGCCATCGGCTTTTGCTCTGACAGGAATCGCCGGAGGTTCTTGCTCGTCTACGAGTTGATGCACAATGGGAATCTCCAGGACGCGCTCTTGCACCGCAAGTGCCCTGAGCTGTTGGATTGGAAGAAGCGGTTTTCCGTCATCGTCGACATAGCCAAAGGGATTCAGTACCTTCACTCTTGCGACCCTCCCGTGATTCACGGCGATATCAAGCCAAGTAATATTCTATTAGACCGTTCTATATCGGCGAAAATTGGGGATTTCGGCCTTGCACGATTGAAATCGGAACCCCAGATTGAAATTGGGATTCTGAACTTGGACGGTGTTGAAAAGAAGAGTGGTGGATTGGACTTGGAAGACGAGAAGAAGGCAAAGGAAGAAGAGTTAGAGAGTAATGGCGGGTCATTGGTCGAAGAAACACAGAGCGTGAATACCGTTGATGAAGGTAGCTTAGGCGCGGAGCAATCCCCCGAGGGTTTTGTCACGATACCCATATCGGAGCCATCGCCGGGGCCGTTGGAGGCGGCGGCGGCGATGGCAGCGTCACCGTCGGAGGCGAATTTCGAAAAAGTTAGCTTTCAGAGTGAGAAAAACATTTCCTTGAGTTCTAAGAAAAACGGGAAAGTCTTAAAGAGCAATTCCATGAAGGATTGGTGGTGGAAACAAGATATCGAATCAGCAGCAGCATCCTCCATGGCTGAGAGTAAGAAAGTGAAGGATTATGTAATGGATTGGCTTGGAAAAGAAATAAACAAAGAAAGACCCAAGGGCGAATGGGTAGCATCAGCAGCAGAAACAGCTACCTCAAGTAGCGGGGCAACAATGGGAAAACCAGAGAAAAAGAAGAGCAAGAGGCGCTTGGAATGGTGGAGATCAATGGAGGAGGAAACCATTAATCCTAAAGCTTTAAAGAAGGAGAAGAGAAGACCGGCGAGAGAATGGTGGAAGGAAGAGTACTGTGAAGAGCTCGCCAAGAAGAAGAAGAAAAAGAAGAAACAGCAGCAAAAGAGAAGTGGAATAAACAGTGACGATGATTGGTGGGCAAGAGACGACGAAGACATATTTGGTGAAAGAAAGAAGGCCAAAACCCGTAAAAACAGTCTTGGTAGTATAGATTGGTGGTTAGATGGATTTAGTGGTGACCTATTCAGAGCTCGCAGAAACAGCCATGATTCTGCAGCAAGCTGGGAAATTCCCAAGAGCGGTGGTGTTAGTAGCACACCAAGCATGAGAGGAACAGTTTGTTATGTTGCTCCTGAATATGGTTACGGTGAAGATTTATCAGAGAAGTGTGATGTATATAGTTTTGGGGTTCTATTACTTGTTATAGTTTCTGGACGACGTCCACTTCAGGTTACTGGTTCACCATTATCAGAGTTTCATAAAGCAAATCTACTGTCATGGGCACGCCTTTGTGCACGCAGTGGGAAGCTGCTCGATCTGGTTGATCAGTCTATTAAGTCATTAGATAAAGATCAAGCTCTTCTCTGCATCACAATTGCTCTTCTTTGTCTGCTCAAGACACCTTCTCGTCGTCCTTCAATGAAAGAGGTTGTGGGAATGCTTAGTGGTGAACTGGATCCACCACAATTGCCGGTTGAGTATTCACCGTCGACGCCATCTCGCTTCCGAAGCAAGTCACGGAAAAAGGGTCCGTGAGTTTCTTCTTTAGCATTCTCCTTTCTGGTATAGATCTTGATCTTAGCTTGCAATTGACAGATATATTTGTGTAAAAATGAGGAATTTAGGGGTGAATGAAAGGCTATATTCTCACTACTCTGTTTCATATTTACTTTTGGGTGTTTTGGTTTTGGTACCTTATGGCCTACCATTCAGGAGATTGATGTGTGTACTCACTCACTCCCACGCCAAAGAACAGAATCATGATGCTGACCCACTTGGAAATTTCTTAATACGCAGACTTTTGGGCATGCCTTGAGTGATTTTTATGCCTTATGAGATCATGAGAAATTATGACCATTGCTTTTTGTGGTAGTGTGTCATTATAATGGCCATCTTCTTACTTTTGGAAAATGAATTAGCAGCTTACCTCCATGGCCGTCCAATCTGTGTTCAACTTTATTGAATCGAGTCTTGCGATTAAAACTTTTCTGACTATTAGAAAAGAAACCAAAGTGTTGTTTACACCTCTTGTGTGTGTGTGCATGTGTAAACAGAATCTACTGTATAGTTTGGGTTCTGTCAAGATTAATCAGTTTCAATATCATTATTGATACATATAATGTTTGGTTGAAGCACATCGACAGTGTCTAACTGGGAGTTAAAGATAACGAGTTGTTCACACCACTTGCAAATAGAAATATATCATGGAATTTGAGATGTTTCTGTCAAGATTTAATCAATTTAGATTGGAACTTGAGATAATGTGTTTCAGATTCTGGTCATTGAAAATTTTGCTGGCTTTAAGGTATGCTGAGTATGTGGCTTGTTACGTTTTGTCCTGATCTTGTGTCTCCATGACAATAATCTTCTTGACTGTTTTTGAGATAAGCTGAGATTTTTATGGCCTAGCCATAGAACTTTGAGATGGGTTGGGATTAAAATATGTGGTGACTGTGAAGTGATTTACTTTTCTGTGGGATGATGATGGTCCCTAAAGCCTAAGATGGTGGAAAAGGGATCCAGAATGGTATAATATGGAAGACTAAACTCATGATTAATGATAATTTCACATCACTTTCGCTTTACGTCACCTGACCCTGCATGGGTATTACTTTCTTTTGAGGGTGTTGCTATGATTGAAACAATTACAAAGTTGATGCTATGCAGGCATGGCTGATGTAAAGTTGGAATTGTGGATCAATGCATTAGTATATCTTCACTTTAACTAATAAATTTGCTTTTCCTTGGTGTGCACTCGACTATGGACTCAGTACACACACACACACACATATATATATATAATATAGAATGTTGGTAAGTACTTCAAGGTTTTAAAAAGAAGTTAGGTGCCTTAATGGTTTAAATTTTTTATATCTTTTTAATTATACTTTTATTAAATACCATATATAAATGTCCTAATAATTATGATTAAAATTTAAATGTATCATTTTTTTTAAAAAAATAATAAATGAAGTAGGGTATGGTTGAAAAAACTAATTGTTAAAATTATTTAATGTAATTAGCTAGTTAGTGAGGTAATAGTTTATTAAAGTGATGAGCAATAGTTGGCCATAAAGGATGATTAGTCATATTGGGATTGAGGCATGAAAGAGCCTGACAAAGCAATGTTATGTGGAAGTATAAGGCTTATAAGTTGTTAACTTCCTTTTCTCGAAGAAGGAATGGTGGTATGATTCAGTTGATAATACCTTATAACCATGAGGTTTTGAATCTTACTAATTACAACCATGTTCAAGGCTTCTATAGTATTAGAGGTAAAAAGTCGAACACATCTAGTGACAAAAAAGGGCATGAGGAATATATAAAATTTAGGATATGTTTAACTAAGTGATTTAAGTTATTTAGATGAAATGAGCCATTCTCAAATATTCTTAATATAAAGTTTGACACTTGACATATAGTAGGTATTTTAGGTAATTTGCAATGCCTATTTTAGTTATAAATCAATCATCTAAATTCACCAAAATTTTTATCAATAATACTAAAAAGGGTTGAAGTATATTTTTGCTTGCCAAATATTTTTTGGATGAGCAATGAACATCATAAAAAAATTGTAGAACATTGCAACACATAATTTTTCAAAATTAGTTTAATGTTCTTTTTAACAACTAACATAAAGTTGACAATTAGTGCAGGGTGTAAGACTTTGTTTAACCTAATAGTGACTTAATGTTTTTTTGGTAACATAATATTGACTTAGTGTTGATTGTTAAAAATGAGAAATATTACACCGGTTTTAAAAGATTACGTGTTAATTGTATTAGAATTTTGTTTTGGATTCTTACAGCCCCTCCAAAAATACTTTCATAGCAAAATTACATTTTAACCCTTGAAAAACTTATGCTACTTTTCATTGTGTTTCTTTGAAAATAACTAGGTTTCAGTGTCAACTTGAGCTCAAGTCAATATATAGTATTCCCTTCATAGTGATCACTTTTCCAGAAACCTTTGGGCAAAACCTTTATAATGTTGGACTGAATGATGAAAATGTAACAAAGTAAAAATTCTTCTAGTCATTAACTTTACTATTTTATTTCCACCTTTTTTTGGGGCCAAGTTGACTTGAGTGAATAGTGAATTCTTCTTTTTCAATGTTTGGATGTGAGGAAAAAGTGTGTTGTTTCTTTTACATGGCCATGGGAGTCCAACATTTGACCGACAGATTTTGTTTTCTCTGACTTTAACATGCCCATCTGTTGTGTTTCAGGTCGATAATTGCTTTTCTTTCACTTTTCCTCCTTTATGTTCACGTGTAGTCATACATCTATAATTATTTCACATCAATTATTTAACACTATCATGTCTCTGGATCCAGATACCTACCTATGCTCCCCCCTATATATTTTGTGTTCCATACTGTTCCGTTCCTCAGTACCACTTGAAGGGGCAATTTATTGTCGGGACTTTTTTTTTTTTTTTTCTGAAATTTTATCCCAAAAGATTAATGTTGTGCTTTCAAAGTTTATATTTTTCGATATAAATATTATGTAATATTGCACTTTGGAAATTAAGTTAATAACAAACATCATGCAAGGGTTGAAGTACTAAACATGGCACGATAACAAGAAACTAGAACTTGAATGTCCAATAACCAAGCACCAAATCATAATTTAAATATTAAAATTTTGAAAAAATTAATCTACAAGACTTTATAGTTTTATATGGTTTTAAATTAGGCCCTTATAGTTTATTTTATTTTAATTAATTCCTTATAGTTTGATAGATTAAATATTTTAGTCCTTAATTGTTAAATTAATCCTTTAATTTTTTTAAATGAAATTAAGGGCTTTTATATGTTTATTAAAAGGTTATATAATTTTAGAATTAATTTCTCAATTTTTATAATTCAAAAATTATATAATTAGATTATATTTTCTAAATAAATTTTAAATATATAAAATTTTCAAAAAAAAGTAATAAAAATTTAATTATTGTATTAATCAATTTTTTTGCTAAAAATATTAAATCAATTTTTCTGTAAATTTTAAAGTGTTTTTATTTTTAAAAAGTCAATCATTTATTAATAATTTTAACTTTTAAAGTCTAATACATTTAATCAATTACTAAATTATAAGTGCTTGATTAAAATAAATTAAACTATATAAACCTAATTTAAAATTGGGGAAAATTAGAAGGACGTAAATATTAATTTTTCCTAAATTTTTTTAATGTTCCATGATGAGGAAACAATGGGAAAAATTAACATAATAACTATTTTAATTTAAAATTTTAAGGTTTAAATTTATGAATATTTTTTTAGTTATATGTTAGTTACCCAACTTTATTTAATGTAAAAATTTTACATAAGCTCAAATTCATTCACTCTTGAACAACCTAGTGCTTATGAGTCTTTAGTTTTGATGTGATGAGTTGCTCCACATAGGTATCTTATAAAAACAGTTTTTTTTTTTAAATTTGTGACATTAACTATGTTTTTATAGTTACTATTAAGTGATTTTGTAACATCTACTATTGTTTAATATTTTTAATCTTATTTTTGATTTAAAAATTAGACAATGTGAAATGGTTTTTTTTTTAAATAAATGATAAAAACAACGCTTTTAAGAAATTGCTGTTTGCATACCCGCAATTGTCACAAACAATATTGTTTAAAAATGGCATCGATTGTTGTAACTTATGGAGAAACAAATAATCTAAGAAAAATAATAATAAAATTCCTTTAAATTATGTAAATGATAATTTAATTTTTTAAAATGTCATAATATTAATGAAGTTTTTAGGGATCTGTTTATCAATAATTCTTTTAAGAAAAGGATTATTTTATCCTTACTAAAAATAATAAAACCTAATCATAACTTTTATTTAAGGATTATAACTTTTGTTCTATAAATAATAAGAGTTGAATAAGAAATCATAACTTATCAAGTGTAATTTATGTTATTGAAAAACAAGCCTCAATTATAACTTTTATTTAAAGAATAACAACTTTTCTTCTATGAATCACAAGAATTAAACAAAAAATTATAATTTATTAAGTATAATTTCTATTATTAAAAAACAAGTGCATTCACAAAAAAAAACAAGTTCTCAAAATAAAAAAGTCTATTCACAATTTTTGTTTAAATAACTATAACTTTTTTTTTCAAAGAATTATAAGAATTGAACAAGAAATCACAATTTGTCAATAAAAATAAAAAAAAATTTCTCTCTAAAAAAGTTATAAACAAAAAGGTCCCTAAAAACTTAATTGATATTTTTACATTTTGAAAAACTACATTATCATTTATATAATTTGAAGTAATTTTATTATTATTTTTCCAACAATCTAACCAGAATTCTCCAATATTTTACTAATAAAATATTTAACTTGAATTTTAAATATAATTAATATTTTAATATAAAAAGTCGAGTGGTATTCTTTCACGAGTTCACCACCGTGCCATGAACTTTTTCGTAAACGCAGCCCAAACAATGCAATAGGCTTCAAAACCAGGATAAGGCCCAGCTGATGTTTATATTAAAGATAAAAAAAAAATATGAAAAAACTAGACTGATCTCTGAGTTTAATCATGATTATGTATTTTTTTCTTTTTTGAATTGTAAGGAGAAGCAGAGCAACAAAACTCAAAACTAAACCTAACCAGATAATCTTTTTCATCATCCATCGTCTC